AAATGTGTATTAAAAAAATAAAAATCAAATTTTAATATATTAATTATTTAATTAAATTTATTTGATATTAAAATTAATATCATTTTTTATATTTTTTAATACTCTTAATCTCTATCCGAATGAGTAAATTAAAAAATTCCTTTTGTATATACTCTTGCCTTTGGAGATGAAAAAGGAACGTGGACGGACGAATTGATTCCATTTTATAGGCCAAAACTGAGGTGAAAATATCAGCAATTTAATTTAAAGAAAAAGTTGACGTTTAAAGATGTTCGTGAGCAAAGGTAGAAAAGCATGATCATGTATTGGACACGTGGCAATAAAGCTGCGACGATCAGGACTAAGATATACTGTTGCAACGCGTACTCCACCTAAGCTTCTTCAATTAGATAAAACTTTTTATAGAATAGTTTTTAAAATTTTGCATTTGGAATAAGGTCTCATCCCACTTCTTATAAATTTCAAGAGTTTTTCCTTTGATTAGAACATAATAATTAAATTTATTATATTTTTTCAAAAACTGGGCTAAAGTTTTTAAATTGTTCTCAAAAAGGTTCAAATTGCCGAAGCTCTCTTGAATGTTGTTCAGAAGTTGATCAGCAACTGGATCCAAATTGAGCCCTTCTGTACAGGACCTAGCTCTAGAGGTGTTGCCTCTATCGCTGGCTTTGCCTGAAGTCGAGCATCTCATTCTGATCTTGCACAAGAGAAGAATGAATATATCTACTTAGCCAATCAGCTAGATAATTATCTTTACTTTTAATATGTTTAAATTTTACTTTAAAACCATTTCTAGTTATGATATTTACAAAATTCATCCATCTTTTAGAAGTAAGACTTTTTTTATTTTTCTTTTGAAAATATTTTATAATTGCCTCACAGTTTGTTCTAATTGTAAAAACATCATTTTGAATGAAAAGTCTAAAAGAATTTAAAGCATTTATAACTTCTAATATTTCAAAATCAAGAGAGGTTAAAGAATTTTACTTTCCCTGTATAATCCACTAGAATATCTACAAATCTGTTCTTCTTTTTGAGATGAGAATTCCTTTGGTCTAACCAACAGAATTGCTCCCCATCCTTCACTACTACTATCAGTTTCGACTATTTTGTAGTCTGATTCCAATGGTAGAGTTAGAGAGGGTAACTTTTTAACTTCATCTTTTATTCTTTTTACAAGTCTGACGTCCTCACTATTGAAAAACTTTTGTCTTTTGGGACTAAGTTTTGCATATAATGGTCCAGTTAGTTTAGATAGATCCTTTATATACATTCGGGCATAGTTGAGTATACCCAAGAATTTTTGAAGTTTTTTAGTTTCCTCGATTTTGTCGGGAAAGTCAAGAATCTTCTTAACTATGTGATCCTGCAACTGAATTTTTCCTTGTCCAATCCTCATTCCTAAAAATTTAATGTACTCTTTGGAGAGTTCCATTTTCTTTTTAGAAATTATAAGGCCATTTTTTAGGAATTCAGTGAAAACAACTTGTAGGTGTTGGATATGCTCAGTCTCAGTTTTGCTGAAGACGAGAATATCATCTATGTAAACTAAGATAAAATCAGAATATTTTTTGAATATCTGATCCATCTTTCTTTGGAATATTGAAGGTGCATTTTTCAATCCATTCAAAATGTCCTTTGGGACAAGTGAAGGCGGTCCATGGAATGGATTCTTTTTCCATTTTGATCTGCCAGAAACCAGACTTACAATCAAACTTGCTAAAAATTTTTGAATTTTGAATGCAGTTGATTAGTTGGTCTTTATCTGGTATTCTATATGCATCTTCATAAGTGTTATCATTTAGCCTTTTGTAGTTTATAACCATCCTAGCCTTTCCTCATTTAATTTCTGCATGATTTCTTACCATGAATGCTGAAGAGGAATGTCTAGAACTGGAATGCTTTATGACTCCTAAGGCTAAAAGTTCTTTTATTTGAACCTCAAATTCTTGCCTGTCAAGTGGACTGTGATCCATCTTGCCACAAGTAATTCTAAGTTCAGGATTTATTATATCTAGTTTTGCTGTACATTTGTTTCGATCCCAATATTTGATTGGGTCTTCTCCTAAGACTTGAGTTTCATCAGCTATTCTGATTAACTCATCCAAGTTCATTTTTTT